AATTGGAAAACTCCAGTATCCTGAACTTTCCTTATTAGCTAGATGAGTCATTCTTTTCAAGAAGAGTCTGGAAATTCAAGTGGAAGTGCAGCTGAAAGACTGTCTGGGAAGCTGCTGGTTACCCAATTTTTATCATTTTTTATACTGTTGCTGTTGTGAAAATTCCAGTGCACACTTGAATTATCCTGGCAAAGGAGTAACTCTACAGAGGACTCTCCTTCTGCATGGATAGGTGAGTTCCTCGGTGAAGCAGCTCTGCACAACCCCTTCCTGCCATCTCCTGCCTGTGGAGGATGTTTGCCACCAGACCAACCCAATGACAAAGATGATCCAGTAGCAGTGAAGTGAAGGTTGGAGAAACTTAATTGATGGTGCTGTGCCACTGTCTCTTGCCTGGCATTTTCACCCAATGGACAATGACTGCACAGAGTTAGATGTGCTGCACTAGGACTTGAAGAGATGATCGCATTAGCCTAGGAATGACATAAATATATGGAAGCACTGCCACAGCAACTTGTTTATTTCAGGTCAAGGCACTGCGAACCTCCCTAGGTAATCAGATCCAATAAAAAGGCTGGCTGCCTTGACCTTTGAAGCTAACAAATTGTGTTACAATCAGTCACACTCTTTTTCTTTCACACTCTCTTTCTCTCTCCTTCTAATTTATGCACTTCATTGGTAATGCAAAGCCTCTTCATTTACAACTGAAAATAGGAAAGTTTTCCATAGGAATTGTTATTTTCTTTTCTAAACAGATAGTTACAACATTAAAGAGAGATTTTTGTATTGTCTTCTATTTAATGGTTAATGAATGTTAGTGAAAAGCACTACACTTTGGATACTGATCTTGTATTTTTAACCAAGTAATGTGAGCATCATGGACAGTAGTAGGGTAATCTAGTTTATTTGGTTTAGCTTATTGAAGAGGACCATGATTGATCCAGTCCTTAAAACCTCCGCAAAATGGCACAGATTTATTAATTCATTGTTTGTGGTACAAAACCCTCATTTTTACAAAAATGCTTTCCGTAGCTTCAGAGTATATTATACTAGCAATCACATATCTGCACATTCATATGTTATTTTATTGAAGGCATAACTTCTGTCCTTTTCTGAAAGATCCTGATATCACAGATATTAAGGGATAGAGCCTATAACCTTAGAAGCCTCCTAACATGAGAAGGAGAGTTAAAGCCTTCAGATCTGAAATCACCAGCTGAAATCTTGTCCAGAGTGGTAAAAACAGGAGCTTGATCACGGAAATACTCTCATTGCTCTTTCCTGTATGTGTACACATTGAGAATGTGACCAGAGTGGACATCGGACTGTTCCCCTTAAATGGCACCTTTATGCTGAGGCCAGGGATATATGACCTTAGGGAAAAAAGTCATCTTAATGAAGGTTATTATTTCTGCAGAATAGGATTATGACCTACTGATAGAAGGAAGTTTGTAATCAGAAATCTTTGGTCTTTAGCACTGTTGAAATTCACTATTGCCAGACATTTTCAAATAAAGATGCTATAAAGACTCAAAAGCGTTTTTTTTAAAAGAATATTTGCAGTTGATGCTATTGAAACTGAGTTGAAGAAAATGTGCTATCAACTCTGCAACTCATACAGGTTGTTCATGTACTTCTGCTATGCAGCTATCAGTGTGGTCATACACAGGAGAGGGGAGATAATGATTTTCCATCAAATGGCCATCCTGCTGTTTTTCGTAACATTGCCAGTCAGAGGCCTGTGGAGTATGGCTTCTGCTGCAGTACAGAATGATTAATCACTGGCTAGGAAAGAAGAGCTACTTACCTCCATATTCCTTGTAGAAATAGCAGAGCTTTGACGTGTAGGTTGATGCCAGCATAACAGGCCCTCCCAAACTCTCTGACACTGGGGGATACTCAGCAATGTGCCAGGAGCGGAAAGCCACATTTAATTTGCGTATGAATTCACATACGTATTTTAGCCATAATGTATTCCTGAAGCAACACTGTTTTGTGCTCTGCTTTTCTATAAGAAACCACCAGCTATTGAATCAACAGCATTTAGAGCAGAATATTGTAAAGACAAGTTGCAGGGCACTTCTGTATCTGCAGCGAATCATGACTCTGCACAGCACCTCCTCTGATCCCAGCTTCCTGACCTCTTTGCTCACTCATTCTTGTGAATGACGCAGAACTGCAAGACGAAAGAGTGCTTCCATCTCCCACCTCTTCTAATAGCTAGTGGTCACTTTGTCTCCTGAAACCTCTCTTTCATTCCTGCTTCTTTCTAGCCTGCCTCTCACTCAGGATCACTGTTCCTATGAGAGAACAGCCCAGGACAAAGGCTTATGATCTGCCTCTGTGCTAAAGGAAAACATGTTTTCCGGGTGAGTAGATTAGGCTGATGAAGTGAGAGAAAACAATGGTTTCAGCTATATAGTCATTGCCTTTAAAATACTGTTGTAAAGCGCTCGGATTTTGCAATAATGTGGTACAAGAGTTCTTTCCTATAGGACATATTCACTGCCCTGATCCTGTATATAAGATAATGACTAGAAACAGAGTGATAACGTAGGCTTATGTGGTTTATGTAGTCATTGCTAGATGTGAGTACAGGGTGCTCATTCTGAATGGGGTTATCTGAGCTGCTATAGTAGGAGACTGAATAAGAGATGAGGAAAACTAGTGTTCTCTCCAGGTATGTGAAGGGGCAGGGTGTTGTAACTGGAGGGACTGACTGATGCTCTGATCTGCTTTGGCAAATGCTATATTACCTATAGATTGTCCTGAACCACTTAGTAGAAAATTGGAGGAGGTGGCTTAACAAGGCAACAGGAATGTCAGTTATCAATTGTAGTCTTTCAAAAAGGCAAACAATTTTCTTGTTCTTTTCTATGTAGTGACTTCTGCATTGTGCCCTGTCACAGCCTCATTTTTTTGTATTTGACAACTTAGCCTTTTCCTTTAAACAAAGAAATCCAAAAACAGAGGACTAGTGTTCTCCTACCATGCAAGTCCCCAGCTGCCACTAAGTATTGAAGTCTGACTTGGACTGAGGCCAGAATAGATGCCTGCAGGCTGCACAGCTTTGAAGCACACGGAAACTAGATAAGTCATGTATGAAAATCAAAGTGTATCAGTTCTGTAGTCAACAAAGTAAGAAGCAACCAAAATTAGGAATGAAAGCTCTCCAGAAAAAGGAAGGTCAGACTTGGCTTTCTCAATAAGGCATACAGTAATCAAAATACATTTAGCCAACACGTACAATTTCTACTCTTTTTCCTCTAAAGACACCATCCTTAAGAAGTGTTCAGTATTCCTTGAAACATGTAGTTTAAAACATTTAGTTGCCCCATGCATATTTTGGAATTGAACCTGTTTGGAATTTACTTTTACAAAGTAAAGGGAAACTGGAATCATATGCTTCTATTTGTCTTCATAGCTAAACAAACAACTGTTTTACACACACACATGCATATATCTGGATATATAAAAACATATATCTAGGTTATCATAGCACACAACTGGAAATCAGATCAACCAGAACCTGTTTTCAGATCACCTGCTGCCCTGCTTTGTGACGTTGAATTTGTCACTAGAACTCTAACTTTCTGATCGTAAAGTGTAAAGATGCATCTCTCCTAGGATAGTGCTTCATTAAACTAATGGTTGTAAAATACCTTGAGATTGGATGAAAATTAAGTGCATAGAAGAATGGGTTTGTATCTCTGCTATTCCAGAGTAGTGTGATGTCAGGTAGGAGGCATAGGAGCTAGGACCATCCAGGAACTTCACAGGAGAATGTTTTGTAGAACAACCTTAGATTTTAACTGTTTGTTCCACTGAGAGACATTATAAAATGCCTTCAGTAGAAGCACACTAGGAGCAGTGATCATTCTGCTCAGAAAGGCAAGCAAAAGGCAGGGAAATAGGTTGAAAGTATACGTGGTGACCATCTGCTGAGATCTTTCTGTGTATTTGTTGGGAACTATTTCAGCTGTTCTGACAGCCTGCCTGAAAGGATCAAAACTCCCTGCACCACATAGGCATCAGCAACGGTGGCAGAGAACAATGCTCCTAGGCCCTTAAGTTATCTGAAATTGTATTCCAGGAAGCATGCTTTCTCTCAGTTTCCTTGATAACAAACCTTTTCAATCAGGGCTCCTACCACGATACACTTGTGATATGCTTTTGAGGTAGATACGTACTCTTCTTTCAGAGATAGGAAAGCAAATACAGAAAGCTCAAGCATTTTGCCTAAGGCTGCACAGTGAATCAGTGCCACGCCAGAGGATGAATCCAGAGTATCTGACTCAATTCACTTACTCTGACTAGATGGTGCTCTCTCTGAAGGATGCAGTCATGTCAGTTACTGCTCATGGCTTAAAATAGGAAGCAAAGGAGGTATTTCAACTGCCATAGTGCCACCTTGTTTCCTCAGTGTCAAGACCTATTCCCATTTGCCCAAGAGCAGTTCTGTTACCTTCGGCATTTTTCCTGCAGTTGTTTTCTGTTTGTTTTTTTTTTTTCTTTCAAGCTAGGATTGCAGACAGTGAGGGTGAAAAGAAGCTCATGAAACCATCTGCTCAATCTAGACAGATGTTTGTCTGATGAGTTCTTTTTAAAAAAAAAAAGTTTCTAAAAATGAAGATTCTGCAACTTCCTTATAAAAACCTTTTCAATGTTTGTTCACCTTTATCTTTAGAAAATGTATCCTATCTGAAAACTCCATTTCTTCAAATTAAGCTCATAATTCTTGTCATGTCCACCTTGCAGGTCATGTTCTTTGCAGCACACTTTCGCATATTTTAATACTGCTGCCATGTTCAGGCCAAAGCTTCTAGGCTAAAGAACAGGTTATTTCATCTTTATTCTGGTCTCTGTTTTCTAGAGCTCTGACTGGTTTTGTTGCTGTCTCCTTGTCAGTCTACAGCTGTTTGCTCTGTAACTTCACAGGCTCTGTAGCACCCAAACACAGCGCTCAAGAGAGATTTACCAACACTGAATACATTGTATAGGAGACAGTACTACATCTCCGGTTTGTATTTGTGCAATAAACTATATCTGTATTTATACACCTTGGTTTGTTGTTCCCCATTTTAACATCAGCATGAGTTTTCTGACTGGTGTGTATCCTGTGATGGACTCATCTCTAGGTCCCCCTCTTCACAGCTGCTGCCTGGCTGATTGCTCCTCATTCTGCAGTCAGGCAGGTTTATTCTAACCTACTATAGAAACTTACATTTATCCTTATTGGATTGCATCTCCTATCTTTTCAACAGTTATATGTCTGCAGTAACAGGATAATGATTATCGCAGGTGAAATATCAGAATCAGGATGTGCAATAAAGAATCCTTGAGTTGGCTTGACAATGAAGGAGTAAAGGGAGAAATTATACTTCCTAGAAATCATTACAGAGTTGCCAAATAATTTCTTGGAATCTCTTCTAGCAATAAACCTATGGTAGAGGATACATGCCTCAAACCTGCTCTTTTCAGGAAGACAGAGATCAGAATATTAAAAGGGATGGGTGCTTAGATTAACAAGAAAAGGTTTTGATAGAATGGAGGAGCAAGTGCTTGAACAACTCAAAAAAAAAAAAAAGGACTCATTAAGATCACTGCTGTAGAACAGAAACAGAAAGTAAGTACACATTATTTTGATACATATGTATATAGCTCAGTGATTGTGACTTTCCTAAAGTTGGTTGAAATGGTAATTAAATGAATTTACTGTATGAAACAGCACCCGAGTTAATATAATATGTGAGTGAGAATCTGGGATTGACTGCTTCTCCAATCTGTTAGTATTAATTGTGTGCCACCCATACAGTGGGTATAGTGAAACAAATAAATGGGACTTACTTAGTCTTTCAAAAATTCCTTGTAAGAGCTGATAAGGAAACAAAGCTGTCAGATAGTAAGTGGTAGATGTCTGTCATTGATTTGAAACTGGCAAAGGACAGAAGACTGAAAAGAGAAATAAATGCTCAATTTTCAGGTTAATAGAAAAATGGCAAAAGGTTAATGGAAGGGTGCCTCAAACTTCTGTTTGAGGACCACTGTTATTTAATCAGTGATGTGGAAAAGGGAGTAGGCAGTGAAGTTGCAAGATTTGCAGATAATAAGAAATTATTTATGGGAGTCAGCATTAGAGAAGACCATGAGGAATTTCAGAGGCACCTAATAAAGGAGGCTGTATTGACAGCAGAACATCATATGCAATCCTTTGTTGACAAATACAAAGTGATTCCCGTTGCAGGGAATAATTTGGATTGTTCATACACATTACTGGGTTCTAAATTAACTGTAAGCATTCAGGGAGAAAAAAAAAACCTAGGGGACATTGCCAGCAGCTTAGTAAAAACATCTGCTCATTGCACAGCAGAAGTCAAAAAGCAAATACTACACTGTGATACAGAAATAATGAGCTAGAAAATTCTACTGATCATGGCATTATATAAAACAGTGGTACATCCTTACCAAGCATGCAGCATTCATTTCTGCTCATAGAATCATGAAATAGTGTAACTAAAGGAAGTTCAAAAAACAGCTGCTAATGTTGACAAGAAATGCAAGAGTAAATTGCAGCAGGAAATACTTGGGAGGTTGTGGCTGTCGCAGACAAAGGCAGGCAGGCAGGCATGGGGAAAATTCCTGAATGATTTGGGGAGGAAATACTGAACGTTCTTACTTGTCCTTTCCAAAACTGCAAGAACAGGAGGATTTCAGTGGATTTGAAAGGTGATACTTTTGAAGCTGATAGAAGAAAATGTGTTGTATTCAAAAGATAATTAACCTGTAAAACTAATTATAAAAAGAGCCTAAACCAAAGAATTTATCAGTGCTCAAAAGAGGATTAAACAAGTGTATACTAATGAGAAAATCCTCAGTAATATTGTGTAGGATTCCTAAAAGAGATTTGAATTTGTTTTAAGGCATTAACAGAAACACACTGTGGAATTATAGAAACTCAGTAGCTGTGGTCCATGGTGCTGCATGAAATGGTGGGTATGGGCTTCTTCGGGAGACAGCTGCTTGCATTCACTCTGGGGACAACATGGTACTGGTCTAGCTAGATGGATCACTTCTCTGATCTGGTTGGGTAATTGCTGTCTTCTTAAGGATGACATTAAGTTTGGTGAATGAAAATTTATAAAGTGTATTGCAAATTCAGATTAAAGGGGCCATTTTGGCTTGCCTTTTGAGATAGAAGTATCTGTTGCTTAGAATGTAAACTCATCAAGTCAGAGGACCTTTCTTATTGCTGGAAGAATGTTAATGTAGCATATGTTATATTAGTAATGGTAGTATACCAGAGTATAATTACCATTTTAGTGAAATATAACTGAGCACAGAATCCATCCCATTATCCCTTAGAATACAAGAATTCATTGTATAGTAGAATAACAAATTCCTGTGTATAATTCATCACCTTCTATTTGAAGAAACCATTTTAAGGAGGTTTTGACCCTGGGAACACTCATCAACATGTGCACATAGCTTAAAAAATAGAAGTCCACTTCACTAATCTTATACACAGCAGCAAGATCAGCTGTACAATGTATGCCAAAGATAATGAGTTGCTGGTACAATTAAAGTTCTGCCTGTCATGAAATCACTAATGTGATCAAACAGTGAAATACCCAGCAGATGAATAATTAAGTCCAGATGTCATTTCCATTGTTGACAAGCATGAAAGAAAAGAAAAGACCACAAACTCATTAAAAAATCACTTACTAGGTAGGCTTCATTTTTACCTTCAAAATGTGCTGCAAAGCCCTTCCATGGAATAATCCAACATACAGATGTATAAAAGAACCAAACCAGCTTGCTGTTTAAAACCCAATAGTACAAAGTCTCCCAGTGTTAAGCACACTGAACATAACTAGCTTCATAATTTAGTTTTCTTAAGGAGAAATAATGTAGTTATCATTAAACTCCTTGGGAAACTAGCTTTAATAATGTTCTTTGGTTATCAGGGGTATCGTTTTTCCTTCAGGCAGAGCTGAGGAAATACGAAGTTAAAACCATCATTGAATGTGATAATGAAGTCAGTCCATTCCAGTGCAAGACCACAGCAATTCTTTATCACTCCAAATGGGCTGTGGGGCTGAAAGATGTTTTTCTAGTTGGCAAAGTTGCTAAGTTCACAGATAACTATAATTTTCAGAACATATTTTGCTGCATGTGGAAGAGCAAGAATATAAGAAGTACCCCCAAAACCGAAGAGACTGGTTTGCAAAAGAATTTCCACAAAAGAAAACAGAATTGCACTGCCTTTCTAAACTTCTGCCTACCTAAGATATTCATTCAAATGGGGAACTGACTATTTACATTTATACTTGAACTCGCATGCCTGTCTTTCATTTAACTTTCCACCTTACACACATGCATCCCAGATTCCTGCTGACACTTACTCTTGCTCACATAAATGTGTAAACTCTTCATTCACTGGCACCAGAAGAGCTTATCCTTACATACACTGAAAAGACATAATTTTTCATGCTCCTTCCCGATTCACACATATATACACACAGGCATACAAAATTATATTAGATACCTAGTATGTAAATACAAATTCCAATATCCTCAAACAAAGAATGAAAAAATATAAGCATCAGATAGAAGTAAAGTAGATGTAATTACTTAAAAAAATCATCAACAGGGCTAAAGCTTCATTGAGTTCTTCTCTGAATCATTTATTTAACAGTCATTGACTTGCAGTCACTTACAGTAGCAGGGCTTCAGCATATCAAACATCTGCAACCTCAAATGCTTTAAAATCCATTTCCACTTTCTAATAATTCCTCTGTGCATTCCTGGGCTGATATTTTAATATATAATGCATACACACACTGGTAAAAAAAGGCAGCTGCTTCTGATGCTATGAAAATTAAATTTGTAGCCATGTTGTTCCCTGTTACAGCTTTTGAAACAAATTCTTTTTTTCTCCTGAGACAGATGATAAGCATACAGAAACTGTCAAGAGCTCAGAAGTTATGGTGTTCTGAGCTTGCAGGTCACAAAACTTGAAGTGATTTTCAGCTGTACCACTAAGGGCAATGGTCTTGGCAGTTCTGGTAGAACTAGCTAAAGGTCATTTGGGGCACCTTATGTATTGGAAACTCTGAAACAATTTTATATGAAGAAATATCAAAGTGCCTCTCTAACACTATCAGAGGAACAGGGCATTTAACGTTCCGAAGTGTCTGTTACAGGGAGCACACAGAACTGCTTGAATCCTAATGCATGAAGTACTTTCACTAAGGGACAAGCTGCTAAAGGGAACAGTGATGTTCCAGAGATGGTGCAGTGTGAGCCGTATGAGTCACACTGACAAAAAATGAAACAATTAGGTAGCCATAGTAATATTTATATTTACTCCTTCTGAATCTAGTGCAGCAATAGTTGAATTAGAGCCTCCAGCTAGTGTTATCTACAGAGGAAATGGAGATGCTTCATCGAGTCAGCTGATGATGCTGTAGGTGATGTCAGGAACACAAGGCTCTTCCTAGGCTATTTGTGCTGTGATACCATACTGATACGTAAGTAACAAATTATCCTCTAAGTTGGCTATCTGTAGAGCTTGCCAGGCCCAAACAAATAGCTTCTAAACAACTTCGAACAGAATTGCCTCTCCTGCGATGCTGCTGAATGCCACTTCAGATGCCCAAATAGAAAAAAGAGGTAAAAATTAAAACATGAGCTGAGCTGATGAGAATGACACAAATTATGAATGTACATTGTTTGCTAAATGATACTGAAGCAAGGGCGCAGTAATAGACATGAAACATTTAAGGAGTATAAATTGTTTAGAGCAATGCATTGAGGGCATATATCTAGGAGTATTGGGCTGAAACTAAGAATAAATAAATTTAGGCTGAAAGCAGAAGCAATTTCATAAGAACAAGACTTGGTAAACTGTGGAATAGTCTCCCCAGGAAAGAACTGAAAGCATCCTTGCTTAGTGAATTTAAATCCGGATTGTACAGGTTACTACTAAATGTATTGTGTGGGACTATGCTGTACTGGCTG